ACGCGCTTCAGCGGGCGGCGGCTGTCGAGCTGGATCAAGTCAAACAAGCACTCCACGCTGCAAAGAACAAGAACATTGCGAAAAAAACTTGAGATTCGCACTCGTCACATCACATCGCACAAGCTTCTTTCCGTCCAAGTGGTGCTGAACACGGTACGCATACTGTTCGCTTGGAGAACGCAACAGACGAAATACTCACTGTGAGCTGATGTGTCGCAGGCGTGTGAAACTGATAATCAAGACGGAGTCAATCGCAATGTTCGGCCAGCAAGACAACGTGTCTCGTTGAAGCAAACGTGTAAGTCCCCGCCGTCAGCTGTCATGCATGATATGACACAGAACAGTGACTAACTTGTGATTCCTACTTGAACAGATGCGGAAAGGAGCAAAGCGGAGCTCGGGGCTGCAAGATGCTTGGCCAGTGTGCTACCAGTCACGCCCTCGCTCATAGAGCTAGTCTCCCCACTTTCTCCGGACGAGTTTTTTTCCCCCTCCCCTTACCCCTCCCCGGCCCTCTGGCGCCTTCCCCTGACCTCCCCTCCCCCTCCCCTTGTTCCAGTAGCCATAAATAAAACTTACAATCACCCAGGAAGAGTCTCAGCTCAGTCAAAAATTTCATCCATGGAGTCGGGTCCGCCATCGTTGGCGCCAAATCTCCAACCAAGCGATCAAGCTCCAGCACCTCCTGCTGCTGAATCCAATCCCGACGCCCCCGCTGAACGAATCATCAACGTGATCATTCAAGGTCATGCAGCGGCCAAGAACGATCCTGCCGTTGCCCCAAGTGAGGCGCAAGTCCGATTTCCCGCCACAATTGATCCTCTCACTTTTGGCGCGCTCGTCGAGCGGATCCTGGAATTGCCGCAGGTGAAGCCCGTTGTCAACAAGTACATGAGCGCGCAAAGGCACAAACCGCTCGAGAGGCAGACGAAGCCCATGCTTTCGTTCAAGGCAACTCAATCTGCTGGAAAATGGGATGACGATCTCACCAAGGTACTGGAATCCAACTCAGTCGAGGTGCGGGTGAGGTTGTCCTGCTCAAGCAGCCATCATATCGTCAGCTACACGCGTTTCACGTCAGGCATGACTTGCAGGGTCTGCTTGGCGCGCGCAAGCATCAAAGACGAGAGACGTAAAGCCTTGAGGCGAGCGACTTCTGGCTCGACCGACGCTTCTTCTCTTCCAAGCCACCTGCAAGACATGATTTCTACGCTGTCATCTCAAGCCTCAGAGTCCACTCCAGGTGATCTTATCATCTTTACCGCTCAAGCTGCCTGGAAAGATTTTATGGAGCGAGAGCAAGCTAAAATTGATTTGTTCCGGCACAAGGTCATCGCCCGGTCTTTCACGAAGGAGAACAAAACGGGTATCTCAATGACGCCCAGCGGACGGTTCTGAATATTCAAGCGGGCGAGCCGGTCTTCACAGCATCCAAGAAAGCCTACCGCTGCTCCAACCGCCAAGACCAGCAACAGCAACGTGTTGCTGCTACTCGAGCGTCTGGCACTGCTGCGTCGGCTGCCGACTCCATGTCTCAGAGTGAAAACGCAATTGCTCAACACGGCAATTCCAGACTTCCAGTGCACGAACGTGTCATTGATTCCATTGCACATCCACACGATTACGACCAGAATTTTGAGGCCGTGCCTCGGTTGAAGCTTGGATGCTGTCGCTACTCGCTCACACACAGTGGAAAATTTTTTCCGAATTTCGGAACGACCGAATTTTTTCAAAAATTCGGTTTTTTTCAACTTGCGAATGCTTGGGTTTGGCTTGTTTCTTTCAGTCGTAGTATGCAATATATGTTGTTTGCAGTGCATAGTTGTGAAAATTGGACGGCGGGGACTGTCCTGGAACGCGAAACGATGAGGAGGGGAATTGGCTGGCGGTCCATTGCGATCGGCGCTCCTCCTTGCTACTGCTCCCCAGGCCAGATCAACGCGCGCTTTTGCATGTCCAGTGACATGACACAGTTGTCATGCGTTGCTTCTGATGCGGGGGCGGTCGGGGACGGTCGCACAGACGCAGGAAAGCGCTGTTGACACAACTTCGCAGCCACCACTCAATGACAGCACCAGTGCACCAATTCTTCACTCAGAATATCTCTCATTCTAGCTAAAAAAATACAATTAACACAAATCACGCATATTCAAATGCCACATAATCATGATGAATTGCGGTTTAGTTGGAGGTTGTGGGTCGTTTTGCGGACAAGATCGAGCACGCTCGTCGACCTGGTCCGCTTCGTTCACGCGCTGCAAACTCTGCTGTTGGATCACCTTCTTCAGCCGTCGATTGGCATTGTACTGCTCGTTCACTTGCTTGAACTGGCTGTTGGTTAATTCGTGACAGTACCCGCTGCATGTAAAGCTGTCGAGAGCTACGATCTCGTGTCCGAAGCGAGGGCGGAGTGGCTGGTACAGTGGGTTCTTGCCATACACATGTTCGGATGGACGGTAGTAACTTGCAACCTCAACCCAGATTGATTGGTCGATACGCCAAAACCTGGCTGGCTTGACAAACACATCCCCAAACTGAAGAACTGTTACTTCGGATACCTTGGCGAGCGAAACGGGTCGCGATCCCCACACAGACATGGTCAGTGTCTGGAACGCTTGAGCCTTCTCCTTGAATTCCGCCATCCGCTTGGAGACCGAGGCTTCCGTGTAGACCGAGCCAGAAGGAGCGTCGTGCTCGTTATTGGCCAGCTTCGCCACGACGGCTTCCATCGTTTCTTCAGGGACACGCAAGCGCGTCAGCACCCCAAACTTGCGACCTGGAGCGTAGGAAACCACAGGGTTGACCTGCAGTGCGATTCTGGCCACCAGTCTGGGAACAATTTCGTCGTGAGTACCGGGGCGGATGAGGCGGCCGTATTGGTTGATCGCGCGCTCGAACGGAAATGTCGAGACATGTGCAGGCGGGCCATGTTGCTGGCAAGCCCGGGCAAGATGAGACAGATGGTGGGTAGTGATGGGCACGTTGCAGTTCCCAAACGTCTCACTGATGATTCCGATGGTATTGGAAGTCAGTTTGTTGAGCGAGTCAAGCGTCGTGGGGTCGACCTTAACCACCTTGGACATGGCGATCCGCGTCATTTCTGAAAAGTTCCACCAGATAGCTTGCTTTCTCTCATCCACCAAACCCAGGAAGATGTGCTTGCCGCAGACCAGGACAAAATTGAGCATCTCCTCGGCAGTGTACGACTTGTGGTGTGCAGAGCAAAGTCGAGGCTTTCGCATGACAAAGGCAGGCCATACAGTGATGGCCAAGCGCAGGTCTACTTCAAGAATCTTGACCGTGTCGTTGCCAAGCAGCGCAGCCCTCTTGTTCCTAAGC